TGATTAAGTTTATCCTTTGTCGTACAGTTCATGCCACGAAGGCGTTGCTTGCAAATAGACCACATATTTTCAATGGGGTTTAAACCTGGTGAATTCCCAGGCCAGTCCAAGATGGTTATTTGATTAGTATTGAAAAATTCTTGACCATTTTTGATGTGTGGCACGGGGCCAGCTCTTGTTGAAACACGCCAGATCCGTGAGGAAATGTCTTTTTTAGTTCTTTAGTTTTTAGCTCTTCTTTGGAGAACTTCTATATATTGTGGAGAGCGCATCATGCCCTGGACTGGACGCAATGCGCCGACGCCGTAATAACTAAAGCACCCCCAAAACATCTGCTTTTGTGGGTGTTTCACAAAGTGGTCAATGTGGGAATCATGAACTTTTTCTCCCTCTGACCTCCGAACATACTGACTTCTCTGACCATAAACATAGAAATGGCTTTCATCGCTGAATAGGACTTTTCTCCAATCTTCTTTTGTCCAGCTTTTGTATTTTAGTCCCCATTTGTAACGCTTAACTTCATTACTTTTGTCAGAAGTTGTTTCTTCACAGGCCGTCTGGCTTTCCGACCAACTTCCAGGAGTCGCCTGCGAACCGTTGAAGAACCGATTTCTATTCCTTTCTCCCCCCAAATCACGTTTTAATGCGTCACTAGTCTTTCGAGGATCTTTAACACTTTCCCCTATTAGGTAATCGTCATCCCTGGCAGGGGTTTTCCTCTTAGGACCACATTTCCCTTTGCGTTTTGACGAAATGCATCCCGTTTCCTTTTTCATTTTGACCACTCGGCTGACGGTTGCCGGACTGACGCCTACTATTCTTGCTATGTCCCTGTAGGTCTTGTCTGTGTGTTCGTGCAAGGTCACGATCTTCATGCGCCTTCTGGGAGTCACGTCCAACTCAAATAATGACTGAATCACAAAAACAAGAAGTTGAAACAAAAACCTTAATAACCATAAAAAGTATGATGCAATCTTGGGTGATGTAACGACTAGACATGCGTAGTTATTAAATCGTCTGATTCACAAACAATGATGAAATATCTATTCCCAAAATAAAATAAAAAAATAAATGCAAAACGGCAGCTTTCATGTATAAAACCATGATATTCATAGAAAAAGAGACACAATCGTAGTTTGTTTCAACTAATGTGCACAAGGATGTATATACCAAATTTGTCTCGAGAGTCGGTAACCCATCCAAAAAGCGATTAGGCGCCGACCTTATATCGGTCAGCGTAAACTCACTTGCTTCATCCATCCCATCCAATACACTTTTGCTCTCCGAGCAACTCTATTACATGTACCCAAAAGCCCAAGCTCTAATTGGCAACTTAGCTGAATTAAGACTTCGACACACGTCAGCAGCTTGGGACCTCATCGCTATTACGGAAACGTGGTTGCGCTGTGAGGTAACGAATGCAGAAATCGCACTAACAGGCATGTCCACTGTCCGAAAGGATCAAGCTAGCAAAGGAGGTGGAGTAGCCCTATACTTTTGTAATAACCTGTAATGCGAACCACTACACGATTCGGAAACCGAAGTACGACTTCATTTGGTGCAGCTTCAGGCTGAGAGGGAACGATCTTGATCTACTGGCTGTTGCTTACCGCCCACCATCGTCTACACCTGAGATGGACTGCAACTTGGTGGCTGCATTAATGCAAGTGAGAAACAAGACGTATAGTCACGTTCTATTCGCCGATGACTTCAACTTACATGCTCTAGAATTCCAGGCCACGTCAGGAGAGCAATTCAAAGCAGACCTGCAAGAACTTGTCTCAGATTTTCCACTTTATGGCCACATCAATTCGCCCACCAGATTCAGAGGAAATAACAAGCCATCCATATTGGACGGAATGTTTACTAATAGAGATCTGATGGTCGCGCAAGTGATAATCAATGCTCCTCTAGGCCGCAGTGATCATGCGACTTTGCATTTCACGTAAACTTACAATACTGAATATCCCGAGGACCGAAATCAAGCAATGCAAGTCGTAACCATTAACGACACCTTAATCCGACTCGTTGAAGTGACCGCGACTGGAGTTTCCTAACCGAGGATGCACCCGATATTGCCTGTGAACGTTTCGTCAGTAAGTTTAACACCATGGTTAATGGCGCATCGGAAACCAAGACTATCAGTTCAAGAAACATGACGTCGTTTATACGGAGTAGGTCAGGTAAACGCATGATGATGCGCAATGCGGCGTGGTATACCCACAAAAGCGACCCTAGTCTGAGTAACTGGAAGGCATATGTTGTCCACCGTAACCACTGGACCCAATTAGTGCGCTAGGACAAAGTAGCCTATTAACATGATTTGGCTGAGCGATTAACTTCAAATTCTAATCTTCTGTACAAGCAGGTGAACAGCCTTTGCAAGGTGAAAAGTGGATCTCCCCCTCTTCAAACAGCGGATGATCTAACTCGGACTGCTAAAGAAGAGTTGAATGTTTTGCACCAACAATATACTCCAGCGGTCCATTGCATCCCGTAGTCTCCTGAATCTCTGGAATCTATTTTGCCAGAACTCACTTAGATGAATTGTGCGGCAGACATCGTGATCAGAAAGCTGCTATCGATGCGTCGGCACACCTATCCAGGAATTGACGACATCCGCTCAAAGACGCTTTCTATGGCGGATAATATTTTGGCTGATCCTTTGGCGCGGCTGTTCCAGCACTGCCTTGAGGAGCGGCACATTCCTGCAATGTGGAAACAGAATAATAGCCCCCATTTAAAAAAGAGTAGTCGTTCCGACCCAGTTAATTATCGACCAGTGACTCTACTGTCAGTTCTTTCAAAAGTTATGGAGGCTATCATTACCGACACACTCATGTCTCATCTGGATGGCTTTGGTTACATTGTTCAGCAGCAACACGGTTTCCGCCAGAATCGGTAGTGCATAACCAATCTGTTGTTAGCAGAAGACAGCTGGACCGAACCTGTGGACACTGATGCAGGAGTTGTTGCGGATTGCCTTGATTTATCTAAAGCATTCCACTAGTTGGACCATCGTATCCTTCTCACCAAACTTCAAGAATGTGGCATTGGGAACCATCTTCTCGGGTGGATTGGCAATTTTCTCTCGCTCAGGCGTCTGGAGGTGAGAGTAGGTAAATCCGTGTCAGACCCAACTCACGTTGAATGCGGACTGCCACGGGGTCGGTACTGGGGCCCCGACTATTTTTGGTCTTCTTATACGATCTAGTGAGACACATTGCATCAAACTGTTTACTCTACGCCGGTGGCATCAAACTTTGGCTATTGATCAGCGCTCCAGAAGACCGCATCCAGCTTCAAATCGACCTTGACAAGATTGATGGATGGTCGGTCCAAAATTGTGGATAAACATCGAGTGCTCCATTTAAGACACTGATTAATTCACACATATAAGCTAGGGGACCGGTAGCTGCAACATTGTTCTGTCGAAAAGGATCTCGTTGAGTTTGTTCAGGAATATCTCGGCTGCTCGGAGCAGTCCAAAACGGCATGGAAGAGAGGGATCCAAATCGTGGGGCTTTGACGGAGAGCTTTCGGGCAATTCGAACCCACGATTTTCCACCAAATACTTCCTGCTTATATACGCCTACATGTTGCGTATACAATTCAAGCGTAGCACCCATGGCTACAACGGGATATCACGGCCTTGGAGCTGCCACAACGTCGGGTGACCAAAATGTCAAGTGACTGCACCACTTGTCAAAAGAACAGCGCCTCAGAGTGCTTGGCATCTTCAGTGGGCGTAATCGCCGTTTGAGTGCTGACTTAATCATGGCTTACCAAATATTAACTAACAATAATCACCCGTGCCATAGCCTATTGAAGCTGAGGCACAACAACCAACTGAGCGGTCATCAGCTGAAATTGGCAGACCAATACAGTCGCCTGGAGTGTCGAAGAAACTTCTTCTCGCTGCGTGTTTGCCGCACGTGGAATACCCTCTCAGAATCTGTTATTTCAGCCCCCAGGTTAGCCGTGATCAAAGCACTGACCATACTACACCATGGCACGTAAGCCAAACGAGCCATATAAACAGCGGAAAACAAAAGACAAACCAACCCACCTCTATTTTCGCCCGGTAACCACAGATGATAACCTTGGATAGTACATAGAACTGACTGGAACGCTGTCATCGCCAAGTTCGTAATTTGCCGTTGTTCACTATTTCCTATTGCTATTTTTACCTTTAGTTTGCTCACCCTTAACCCGTCATCTGGCGGGACATGTCAAACCGGCTTTTTTATGCGCAATCTACCATTGACCAAATTATATCATGGTTGGTGACAATAAACTACTGGAAGATCTTCGTGTGCAGATATGATCCAGCTGAAGCATAGCCTTGCGTTTCGCGCTGCGTCACCTCTTGCTTCAGACGCGACAGATAAAACGGGAGCAGAATAGATTGTTTTACTGGTACAGTTGAAGATGATAGAAAATCAACTTAGTGTGTGTGATACCTATGGAAGTTCTACTTATTCAACATTTGAAACCGCAGTAGGGAAATTTACGATTTTTAGGAACATCCCTGATACACCTTACCACAACGTGGTACACCATGAAGCAGCATACGCAACCACTCAAGTAGGAATGACTTCAATGCACATTTAAACTGACTGGACGTATTGTGCAGATATATTTCAAGTTCGGCAAATCAAGAACATCTACTCGAGCACCTACACTAACCGATGGTCCACAAGTAACTATATGCCACCAAGACCATGCATACTTACCAAGAGACCGCGTTGCACATTCCACGTACATTGTTCTGACAAAGCCTAGCCCCACATGATAACGTTAAGTAATTTGTGCAAGTAGCATAGCAGCAGCCATGTGGAACCGCTGATTATAGATAAGCCATCATTAGCGAAATTTCACCACAACGCGTGTTGAACCATCAACTCTTATTGTGGTATCCTCGAGTAGATGTCAACTCATGACAAACTACTAGTAATATCTCACACTGAATTTGTATTCTTTATCAATTGCCCCTTCAGGAACTCTGCTCTGCCATTGATATATTGGCTATAGAGGGACGAGGTGATTCGTCGGTCTCAGCCAAGGTACAACCAACTCGAGATAGATCCGTGAACATAAACAATGGGGACCATGCAACGAGTGAAGAAACAAATGATGGGAACGATTTTCTATCCATGACCTTTAATTTGGGCATTCAGAAGAAAACAACTTGTTTCAGACAACCCACCGATGTTCGCGCAATACGGAACCAGGAAACACATTTGACCGCCGAGGAGAGTCGTTCAACACTAGATCAGCAAGTGCGTGTCCTCATCTTCTCATTGGTGTTACCTTAGAAATAGCAATCATGGTACCACAATTTATGGAAAGGCAACTATAACAGTTGTTTGCCTTAGGTGAATCATGTAGCTCAGCTATCAGCCTACTTCTGAGGTTTCAATTGCGTCGCTTTTACATTAAGTTACTAACTTATGCCTCGTGCATGTCCATAATCCTTTCATGCTCTATGAATGTTTGAGACAAAGCCACCGGTCTAGCAGCAGATCGTCCGACTCTAACGTAGCCTGTCCCTTTGTCGAGTTCTTTTTGACCGTGAAGGTAATGGACCGGATTAGTTCCCACACAATGAATGGCTACTATATATTTCGGACCATATAAATAAATAAATAAATAAATAAACGTTTATTCCTCAGCAGTCCAAGGCACAGACCGATTGGGTGGTCTTATCAACATGTACAACGTGATCGCATAATATAGTGAATTATTCGTCTTTTGATCAATGGTTCCCATATGGGTTTTTGAAATGATTAGCAGTTTGGAAAAAATAGAGAGATAAAGAAACTGGGAACAATAATAAATGTAGATTTTGCGGAAAGTTCAAGTAAAGTAATACGGTCATCCATGGAACTGTCCCTAGGGGACTTGCTTCCATGCAGGGTATTTCCACGATGGGTTTCACCCGCACTTCCATGCTCCAATTGGCTCTGTGCCGATAGGCCAGTCATAATTTGATGGAAAATCTTGGCGAGTGACGACGATGGTACAGAGACATCAGCTTGAAAGGCGTAGTGCATCTACGAACCAGTGCGTCAAAGGAGAAAACAGAATTGGTTAGACGGATTAATAGGAGTAAGATCGTTCTCATATATACTCAAGAATGCAATTATATGTAGGTAAGCTCCTATTATTAAAACGAATAGAGGATATGGTGACTTTTATACGTATCCAGGACCTTTCTCATACAAATCATCTAGAGTCACCGTTTGGCTTAGTGTTGACCAGATGTTTGCAACAGTCAGGTGAATATTAATCATGCGTCTGAATTGTGCATAGGTAGTGCAGTTTCTAACACTCGATGGAAGTTTGTTCCATATTAACGCATATTTTACAGAGAAAAATTTTGAGCGGAGCTTGTGCGAGACTTTGGTATTTGCAATGTGCGCTCGCTGTTTCTTAGTTCATAGCGCATACGAGTCTGAAACTCGAGTTGTGGCTGAGCAGTGAAGGTTAATCCGAATAGTAGGCGGTAAAGAAGGCACAGATTAAGTTTGAGTCTGCGTAGCCATAGCGGCTCCAGATTTACCGCCTCGCAACGCTCACGGCATGTCATAGTATTAGGCATGTTCAGAAACCATTTTGTGAATGATCGTTGAATGTTTTCTAGTGCTATACTATCCACTTTTCTCAGATTACTATGCACGATCGTACAGTACTCAAGTTTCGGCCTAGCACATATTTTAAAGGATTGAAGCGTGGAATCCCTCAAAATAAGAGTTCGACTTATGTAGGCGATCAGTTTTCTGGCAGAAGCCTGCAAGAATATAACATGCTCTAAAAAGTTAAATGAGGCAGAATATCTTAGACCAAGGTCTCGGACTGTGCCACACACAGGAATAGGGGTATCGTTTAATGTAAGGGTGTTCAGAGAAGGGCCACAGCCGTAGTACAATAGATTACTCTTGTCCGTGGCAAAGTGCAGCTTCCAGGAGTTACTCCAGAGCTCCAATGCGGACAAGTCAGACTGAAAATAGGCTAAGTTAGGACTACATTGTCCAGGGGCGGAACGATACACAATTTTAACATCATCTGCGAAAAGGAACGGTTTTCCATACGAGATATCGTCGAGGAGATGGTTGAAATAGATTAGGAATAATAGCGGGCCTAGCACGCTACCTTGAATCACTCCACTGGAGATTGTAGTGACTTCAGATATACAGCTACCGATTTTGACTACTTGCTTTCTACCCTCGAGGTAGGAAGACAACCAATCTAGAAGCGAATTAGTGATACCATAGGACATAAGCTTCAGCAACAATAAATTGTGTGGGACACGGTCAAAAGCCTTTTGGATGTCAAGTAATATTACGATGATAGCACTTCCGGCGTCTCTTGCTCTAGTCACATAATCAAGGTAATCTAACTGGCAGGTAGTGCACGACCTACCTTTCAACTCATATATAACTCATATAACTCAACTATTCTATTATGCGTTCTTAACTATCGTCTCCATGATTCTGGAGATAATAGATGTGTGGTGGATTGGGCGGTAATTTTTTACATCTTGCATAGATCCGCTTTTGTGTCTTGGTATTATAGTTGATTGCTTCCAGTGTATAGGATACTCCCCATTGAGCATGGAAAGTGTAAATACATTAAGCAAAAACTGGGGGATGTCTGCACCTCCGTTCTTTACCAGTATTGGAGGGATATTGTCAGAGCCTGGTGAGCATGATGGCCGAACTAATCTGGGTTGGCGACATATGTCACTAAGTGTAAATTCAACAGTTTGGAGTGTATTTCTGCCTCTGTGTATCAGCTTGAGCTGAGGATCTTCTTTCGCATTAGTGCTATAAGTAGACATGAAGTAGTCATTGAAGATCGAACATATGATTGCACGGTCGGTTATGGCAGTTCCATCAGAGTTTACAATGGTGTTTATACAACTTGATTTTCTATTTTGCCTACGGTCCAAAAGTTTTGAAATGCAGCCTACCACGTTGGCGCCCTTCAGTGCCATTACTTCCTCAGAGCATAGCATTTTGTGGTGGTCTTGGTATAACGCTGTAAGCAATCGGGTGTGAAGCATCAGCAGAGTAAAATCGTTAGTTTTCCTAAATTTTTTCTTTATTTTATAAAGTTTAGTGGCTGCCTTTTTTGAGATGCCTGCAGGAGCAGCAGTCCTTTTCGAGTTCTTGGTACATTCTGGTGCCACAGCTTCAACACAAAGCTGAATGCGGTGGTAGAATTCATTACAAGCAATTTGTACATTCTGTGCTAAGAAGAATGGATCCCAATATGAAGACCTTATAAGATCCGAGAAAATTGACCAGTTCACAGAAGAGAATGGGCGGTAATTGATCACTGATTCTGTCAGTTTAGAAAGAATTTGGAAAGAACAACCAACGATGTTATGATCACTACCCGGCAACTTGGCACTGATGTATGTGGACACATTCGAACATCCCATCATAAAGATTAGATCAAGTGTGTTACCAAGCCGTGTAGGTTCTGTGACGTGCTGTACCCATCCCAGTCGATCAAGAGTAGACATAAAAGGATTGTGTTTTTGTGGTTTATTGTTAAGGGACCATGGGATTTCGGGCAAATTAACATCCCCAGCGATTATTTTGTTAGTGTATGAGAGGTCAGCAATAAGACAGAAAGTGTCCAACAAGTCATCGGTCACGGTGAGTGTAGACGATGGGGGTCTGTAAATACAACCTACTAAGAGATTTGTTGGATTAATAGAAATTGTAATCCACACCGAATCAGGAAGTCTCCGTAGGAGTGGTTCATTCAGAGGCAGAACCAAGTATTTATCTTTGACGTAGATTATACAGCCACCACCTCTACCATAAAGGCGGTCATTACGAAAGATGTTATAACCCAGTATCCTGAACAATGTGTCAGACATCTCTGCTGAACACCATGTTTCTGTAATTAATACTATATCAGGAGAAGAAAGGTGAAGAATATTACGCAGGAAGTGCATTTTATTTAACAGTGAACGGGAATTAATTAAAAGTAAGTGCAGTGTCTTGTTATCCGTTGGGTTGTCTACAGGAATCCAGGTACAGGACCCCAACGAGGTGGTATTTGGAGAGAGTGGAGTGGGGGTGGTGGATACGGGGGACATATAATTTGCGGAAATAGTGTCATTTGGGGGTGTGGCGGGTAAAACGCCACTGGACCCCCCCAAAAAAAGGTTGGAAGGGTGAAATACTGGGAAAATGGCGACCCACTAGGAATACTTATCCCGAAAACAGTGTCTTCAGTGTGATCGCAAGTTCGAAATTCATTCACGGTTCAGCTCCCACGCGTTTAGAAAATAAGTGTAACTGAATTTTCGAAAAGGCAGTGAAACTGTCGGCGCACCTTGATTGCTTATTCAATCGTTGGAGATGTGGCGCGGAGCAGCAATTTGTACTCCGGTGGACTGTGTGCAACAATTGATTTCGTGCATGCGGGCAGATTCACATAAATGCTGGCCGATCGAATATCGTTACATCAGGATGAAGGTTAGGAGGGAATCTATTACGCATGGAGAATATTTAAAACGAATCTGTAAAATCCAAGCTGCATCACCTGTGGTGCCTAGTTTGGGCAGTAAATCTGCTTACGATCTGACATGTCCAGAAATGATATATTGGAAGGGGAGACGCAGCTGTACACAACAGACCCAGTTGGCGTTTACGCGACAACACACCGGTACACAAGACAGCTTTGTGGCGGGCTTGGTCGAGTGGGAATATTACTGCATTTACTTGTCTATAGCTTTGATGTCGATCGCAATTAACGTTAAACATTCTGCTGCATGAGTACCTGAATTATGTTTATTTTTGAAACAAATCCATGCCAATTTGCTACATGGAATACTCTGTTTAGATGTGGAACCATGTGGCACCTTTAGTTCACAGTGAACTCGCTTTACCCCTTTATATCGTATCTCTTTACTTCCATGTGTTACTCAGCCTGCATTACATTTTCTAGCTCTTTCCTTTAGTCCCATGCAAAATATCTTTATACTCTTGATTCTGGGGTGTATGTAAACTCCCTACAACGTGTTACCTCGAAATCCTCACCTGATCAGCAGATTGGTTTTGATGACTCTTGTCCAAGGCAGATTTCGTACTTCGTTTATTTTGTATCTACTCTGGATCGTAATCGGAATAGGACAATGAGTTTGCTCACAATGTATCGAAAGTCGTCAAATCCTTCGATCAGTGGCCAGTGACCAATAGCTACTGTGTTTCCAGACACTTAGCATACCCATAAAGGATATATTGGAAAAAGTGGATGC